GAAGATCTTTACATCAAAAGAGCTGACCTTTGCACCATAAAAGAACATTTAAAATTAATAATAAAATATTTATAAAACAGCCATTATTTATAGCTTTTTTTAGGCTAAGCAGCCTTTTTTGTTTTTAATGTTTAAAAATGTAAAGTCATGAAGGTAAAAAGTACAGGGCCAGAGAAACGAAATCTTTCTGTCTAAATTTACCTTATCTGGATTTTTTTTCTTTTCTATGCAACAGTATATATATATANCCACACTTTTGGCCACCACTGTATATATATATATATATATTATAAATAAAAACACTTCCCTTAGCATTTATATTACGCCATATTAGGGATAAAAATTTCAAAAAAATAAATTAAAGTTTTTTTGAAAAAGAACTATAATAATTGCATAAATAACTATTTTTTATTCCAAAGGAATTTGGAAGACAAATAGATAACGAAAACACAAAATTTAGGACTCCAGTATCAAAAAAATATTTATGTGTTCTACTGCTCTATTTAAGTTTTAGATATTTTACTTTTTGATCACACTGGTCCAAACTAGTTTTTGTAAAATGAAAATACAATACTGGGTAACGATGAAAATAAAATAATCTTACAAGAAGAAAAAACATTGTTATACTTGATTCATGCGTATTTTCAAAGCTTATCCTTTAAGATAAATTTGGTTGAAAGCAGACATACCGAAACATTAAAAAAAAAATTTCAAAGTTGAAGATAATCACCAATTAAAAAATTTTGTTTTACTTATAGATTTAAGCTGTGTCATGTAGTTAAAATAATTTCCTTAAAGTTATTTAATATCTCTTTAGAGAGACACAAGAAGTGCCTCAACCATGGCTGAAGCCAAAAAGGCTAACTCCTAAGCCAACTTTTCCGTGCGATAAAAATAAAATATTGCCCGTGCTTCAAAAAGAAGTGGAAAAAACCTTAGGGCTCTTACCAGAACCTCAAATAACTGCATGGGAAAGTAAGAGACCTCCGTGGTCCATTATGAAACTTGGTTGCAAGGATAGAGACCTTGTGGATAACATTCTAATAAATGAGATCAAGGAGGAAGAGCCAGATTGGATCAATTACGATCAAGAGGAAGTAATGGTTAAATTACAAATAGCCCATTCCATATTGGATTCGTTGATCGATGATACCATTACCACTCTGAAAAAACTAGAGGAAAATATGAATGGTCCAACAGCTTGCTTTCCTTGATTGAAAGAGTGTGTTGTAGTAAATTACGTTTCAATTTTTAACTGGACTTGATAAATGGACCGGAACTGGACTTGATTAATGGACTGGAATTGAATTATAAAAATTATGATCAAGATTAAGTAGCGGTCATGTTCGAAACTACCGATTTCTTCCTTGATCCTTTGATAAATTACAGCATTATAAATTGATTTTAAAAAAAAATTCAGACTGTCAAAAAAAAAATGACATTCTTATAATTATATAGAAGATAAGGGTTTGATTATTTAAATTTCTAAAAAAGAAAATTCACATTAACCAAACTATTGTAAAAAAAATATTTCAACAAAAAAATGAAATAATAAAAAAAAAAAAATAAAAAAATCTGACTTTGTTTTTATTCCTTATTTTAAGTTTTTAAATGAGTAGTTAATTTGGTACTTTTCCATTTCGCTCATCCGAAAAGGTTGTCAATATAAAATAATGGTTTAATATAAAATAAAGGTCAATATAAAATAACGGTCAATATAAAACAACGGTCAACTGTTTTTATCATTATTATTATTTTAAGTGACAACCATTTCGGGAAGAATTCCGTATCTTGATCTGCTGCAGAATAATTGCCAAGTCTTGGAAACTCCCGGGTAGTAGCCAGCGAAAATCTTTAAAAAAAATACTAAAAAGAAACCAATTTGAATGATATAACTCGTAGCGAAAAAAAATTCAAATTTAGAATCCATTTGCAGCAACATATCACAATATGGAAATATCACCGCCATTTTTAATAATTAATACAAAATAAGCAAAATAATTGAAATTAATTTAGCCAACGAAGTGAAAAAAAGAACCTGTGAAATTGTTGAATGATCGGTTTCAAGCTGCAAAAAAATGACGCTTTAAAGAAGGGTTAATACCCATTATTGTGATATTGACGCTATTCAACAATTATTTTCATTAGTATAGTATTCTGTTCCACAGAAAGAAAAAAAGTTCAGAGGAATTAAAGTCAGTGAAAAAATAATTTTTAATTTTTTAAAGGAAAGAAATAAAAAATTTTTTTGCTAATAAAATTTAGTGGTTTGTTATACAACAAGTGCGTTTCAACAATTAATAAGTGAACGAAAAGTTCACAATCTACAGAAAAGAGTAACACATTAATTAAGTAATTGAAGATACAAATAATATGTAAAACGCTGTTAAAAGGAAGCAAATATATTGCTACATTAACAGTTAAAGATAGGTATGTATCATTATATCATATTCTTGCACAAATTGCAGCCTTGTGGCCCTCTGACGTTGAAAACTCATTGCAAGATCTACCTGGTGGTATTCATTGAACTTCTTCCTGCTTACTCCCGTTTTACAGCATTCATTATAAATAAAAACTCTAAAACTAAAATTTTGATAAGGAATAAAAAACACCAAACGCGAAATTGTTTTTACATACATTTGGAATTACAATTAAATAAAAAGTAATATAATCAGGGGCTTACTATTAGTAAACAGGAGAAAATTAAGATCCAACGAGAAAATATTAACGTCCTAGGAAACAAAAGTAAAGAAAATGTGCTATGTTAAATTTTTTTTCATTAATATACAATTTCTTGGCAAAACGCTTTAACATTGATTAAAGTTCCAGAATTGATTTGTTGTGAGTTTGCACCGAATGTTTGGAGACATTTTTCTCGCCAACTGATTATGGTGAATTTTTATTGATCTCACTTTCGACGAATGCTGAAAACAGAACAAAATACTGTAATCCTATTAAATTCGAAATTCTCCTGTATTACGGTCATTTTTTAAACACAAAACACGCATTTCATAAATATAAAAAACTGCAAGACTTATCAAATGCTATCCGCCAAGCAAACTATTTTCTTAAGCGTAAAATTAAAATAAAAAAAATATTGCTGCCCTAATAATATCAAAGTTCTCTTGTATTATAGTCATTTTTTAACACAAAATATATCTAAGTTTATTTATACAAACTTAAATGAACTTAGTTGTGTACCAGGATATATTGGGAAAAAATTTATTAACTGTAGCTCCTTTTATAACATATGGAGGCCCTTTATCAATATATCTTACGTAAGTTATCAATACTGCCGCACTATCCATCAAAGTTGATTCATCCATTTGCACTGAGAATTTTCTTGTTTTTAGCTTTTCAACAAGTTGTTTTTCAATATCTTCGCTCATTTCGTCTATTCTTCTGCTAACAGTATTGTTACTGAGTAGCATAGCTTTTACATCTGTGTCATCTTTTTCAAGAACCGTTTCAAGAAATGCTGATACTGACGGTTTTATGAAATTCTCTCCTACAGTATGATTTTATCCAGATTTAGCGATGAAAAAAGAAATTAAACAACTAGCCTCAAGAATACGATTATGAGTTGAAGTGCGAGCAGTAAATAGAGACTTTACTGTTGTCCTCTTTTCAAAATTTGAAATTAATTCAAATCTGAATTAATATGAGCATTATGTTTCGCCTTCAAATGCGCCTCAAGACAACCTCGTTTCATTGATTCGTTGGTCAAGCGTGGCTGGCATAAAATACATGCTATGGTATTGATTTCTATCACTGTAAATGGTGTGAAACACTGCAGAAGTTGCGACGGGCCAGTCAGAGGCGAACAACTGCGTTGTTTAGCGAAATTTTAAAGCACCCAGGGGTTCACGTGGAGCCTGCCGTTTGCCGCAAGGAGGTTAACTTGACGACGCCAAAAGCCCAGTTGATATTTTGATCTCTTCAAACGAATTTATAATATTTATTGGCCACAATTATTTAAGAATTTGCTTCTTTCTTTCAATTTTGACATCGAAATCGAGCATTGCATTTAAATGGCCCGGAGCAAAGGGGTAAAACTCGTGTCCCCCTTAATTGAATAATGATATTCAAAAATCGAATCTTAATTGAATCCTTCGATTGTTAAAATCGAATTGCCCCTCCCCGTGGGGCGTGGGATACACGTTGGGAAATACTGCTTTAAACTATTAAGGAAAAGTATAAGCATTTGGTATCGTAATTCGTTACTACTGGATAAAACTGGAGATAAAAAACTGGAAAACTGGCTAGTCTAAGATGCGAATAAATAAAAACATTTTTTTAGATGAAAACCTGTGTAATTTTTTAAAGATATATATATATTTTTTGGATTATATTTTAAAATTTCTCTTATTCAAGAGGAGAAAAATATCTCCATCTAGACAAATGAGAGGTTCTTTTATTTTTTATTATTTTTAATTTAAAGTGTTTTATTTTGCTGAAAAGAATAAAACCAATCCTAAGTCGATAGAACTAAAAAGATATAGAATTATTATTCATATAGAAGTTATTAATATAAGTTATAGAATTATAAATATCAGCAGAGTTATTAAATTATAAATATTCGAAGTTACTAACGCTTTATGCATAAAAAATACAGTTTTATACTCATTTTTACTCCTTTTTTTTCACTTGGAATTATTTACGTTTCTGCAATATTTATTATCTAATGTCTTATGTCCAGTTCAATCGAAACAACTCACTACTTTTATTAGTTTAAAAGTGAAGGTTTTAAGCATGAAAGTTATAACTTTTAAAATATGTTCCCGTCTACACATAAATTTATCCCGGTCGTAGGGATAACTTTGACCATTTTGTTTTTGAATTTTTACTGACAGAGAAAACAATGAAAACACACTCAAACAATTCTTTTAGACTAGAATTAAATCTAGAAATTATTTCCATTCTCTAACAGAGAAATGTACAAATTTTTTACTGAAAACTGGCCGAAGTAACCTAGATCGATAGCACAAATAAAATTTTACCTTGTGATTGAGCAAAATCTTGTGTCGCTGTGTTCGGATAAAATGATGACCCCACACTAACCACTGGTGGTCTGTTAGCTTCTGGGAAGTTTCTGTTCTCTTCGTAGCAATAAGTTGTTCCATCAACTGATGATATCTCGTTTGTTCCTTCGCTGGGAGGTGTGGGCGGGAATCCATAATAGTAATGGAAGGATTTTTGTGGACTGTGATGGGATTCCAACGAATGTTGGAATTTATTTGTTTGATACGCGGTAGCTATAGTTGCTGGTGGTGGGTACCACTGTCCTGGAGTTGCCCCCATTTGACAAGAATTTTCTGGTGAAAACCATGTTGGTGGAGGTGGAATGGAACTACCAGGATGACCTGGTCTATAGAGAGACCCAACTGCAAGAAAAGAATCTTCATTAGACATGGATCACGAATCTAAATAAGTTACAAAAGCATGTGTGAAACTCTGAAACATAGTTCACTAGATATTTAATGAACTGTTGAGGATGAATTCGTTTGCAGAGTGTCCCTATTAGAAGAAGAAAAAAGTTCATGAAACTTGTATGGGAATTTTAGTAAATTACAAATGCATGCGTCAAACACTGAGACATTCTATGCTAGCACAATTTAAAAAGTTACCAATTAAATATTCCAAATGGAAATTTCTGAAAAATAATGTCTGTAATTGTTTTCTCCGAAAGTTAAATACTTTTAATTTGTTCTTCAAAATCAGTTTTCTAAACTGATGCTGACTAAAATTATTATTTAGCACTCAATGGCTGAGCGAGGATTCCGTACTTATTGCAAGCAAATGTATATTTGGACTATTTTACCTTTAGTAAATGGTGTATCAAATGCACTTCGCAAGAATAAAAACATTAGAATAAATGTATTGAAATAAATTCCATTCATTTCTACGTAAGCACTGTAAACGTAAAATTGCGTAAGCATCGTTATACTACGGAAAATCTAGGGCTACAAAGTTGCCATAGATTATCCGTATGCTACCGAAAAAACACGTTGGCAGAAGTTTCCGTTGGAAAATCACTACAGAAAATATTTGTAAGCACCAGATATTTTCTATGGGTAAGGGTAAGGCAGAGAAATTCGGCATGAAGGTAGCTGTGTACCCTCTGGTTTGCATAGTGAACCAGATTTCTAAAATTTTGATTAGCTTTTAATTTTTCCTCTTTTGCATGATTTAAGATATCGAAAACCATCAAGTTTGAAACAATTATAGTAGAATTATTATTTTTCTTCTATCGTTTAGTTCAGCCGTTCTGAAGTGGAATTCCAACACTGGACCTTTCTAGTAGGAGGCTAACTCCTTGACCACCATAGAGGCTGGTCGGCATCTGTTTCAATGTATCAAATTATTTGTTGCCGCTTTCATACCAAAGTTTTTCATTTTCAAAACTGAAAAAATCTGTACCCAACAAATAAAATCTTATGTGTTCAATGGTTACAGATATTATTTGTTAACAGAAAAAATGCCTCTTAGTACAGATTACGATGCAATTTAGCAGTAAATTTCTGTAGTTTTAGCGAACGAAAATTCTCTGTAAGAAAGTTACAGAATTATTATGTTTTTAACGGTAATTTTTACAGTGTTCAACTATCATGGTATATCGTATGGTATATCTTAGCCGTGATATCTATGATCATGGCCATAATCACGACATATCATAGTACTAGATTAGGGTAAGCGTAAATCTCTAAGAGTAATACACTTTTTGATAAAAGGTATATCTTTGTATTCTTATTTAATTACGTCTCCTGTAGCCTATTTTGACTTATATAAAACTTTAAGTTGCCAATGGAAAATGGAAAAATAAAGGCGAGAAATGAAACTAGAAAAATCAAACAGATCAAGAACTGTGGTCGAGAGTGGAAAATCAGAGTAAAATGCATTTCCACGTGCTATGTAGAGTTAGTGAGGAGATAACAAATTTAACATGCAGCACTTACCATGCGATCCGGTTCTATAATTACATCCTTCAGTCTGTGATGATCTATATGACCGCATTGGTGCAGTTGTGTAACACGGCATGCCATTCTCCACACTTAAATGAAAATATGCGTTGTTAGTATCCTCACCCGTAACGATACTGAGTTGAGATTCTGGGCCGTATCCCCACCGCGTGGGATGCGGCGGTGGTGGCGGAATGGCAGAGCTCGCATTTCCTTCATCGCCCATCCATGTGCCGCCCATAGCTGTTCGGTCGTATACACTGTAGCACTCCAGGATTTTTCTGCAAACGATAATTAAAAGTTCTAATTGTATTCAAATGTTAGATTCATTCTACAATGATCAGAAATATTACTTAATCCGAAAAGGGGACACCAGACCTAAAAAATTGTCGAATTTTCGAACAAATATATATTTGTTTTTTGACTTTAAACAAAATGTTACATCAAAATTAAAAATTATTCGATTGAAAGATTAGTACTCGATGGTTCTAATCTTAGTTTTAAAGAATATAAATTGGCATTTTTGAGGCGTTTTGTGTAAATATCACGCAAGCACCTATCCGATGAATAGGTCGCACTTCGCTTACTTTTGCTGACAAGGGATTAGGAGGATGAGTTTGAGTAAATGCTTACGGAAGATAGATAAAATAAAAAGTTTTCTTTAAAAACAAAATAAATTATGTAACAAAAACATTAACACGTGGAAAATTTTAAAATTTGCAATAAAAGTTGAATAAGAAAAAAATTTCTACGAAGTTTTTGAGAGGTCAAGAGTTTTGTACACAAAATGAAAACGCAATATATTTTAAAAGAATTTTTTACTCAAAATTTCATTCAATAAAATGAAACATTAATTTTGCTTTATGCAAAGTTGCATTTTTTATTAGAATTTAATTCTAAAATTATATTACTGCAGTAAAAGTCTAAGTCAAGCGAAAAACAGGGGGTGGGTGTTGTGACTTTGAATGGGAGGGTGAGGGAGATTTGTTAATTTTTGCTTTTAAGGGAAGAGTCCATTGTTAGAAGAAAAAAAATTCTGACAAAATACTTGAACAGCCCTCAATTTTCAGAAAAATCAGATTTAAATATGAAATTTTTTTTCCTGTTTTCTTCGTATATTTTTCTCTTCACGTTACATTTTCTCTTTTTTTAATTTGATTGAAAGTTTGGCACAAGCTTTTTATAATGATTTGAAAGATAGCTGAACAAAACTTTTTGTCGCAAAATATTTTATTGCTGTTTGAGAGCATTGAAACGCATAATTTTGTGCAAAAATGCATCAAAATAAATTTTATTTTTCCCAAACGCTACTAAACCTAAACAAAAACTTATACTTGTGTCGTTTTATATCTATTTTGCTTCCTGTAGAGTTAGAATTTAAAGATTTTCTTTTGATGCAGTTGACTCTTATTTATTCGAATGTAAATAATTCTAAAATACTAGGTAATTCGGATTAATGTTAATTCCTCTAGAATTCCCAAATGATATTAATGTTAAAATTTAAGGCCTATAATTCGAACATTTGTCAATTTTTGTTTATTCGAAATTTGATGTAGAAGAAATTAAAACAATTCTATCTTCTTAAGTTTTTAAAAGTCTTCTCCCTCAAATTTTTTAGACATTATGTATGAAGAATTGAGAAAAAATTCCAAATGAAAACAGAAATGACACTGGGGAACAAATTTTTAGCTGCATTTGTATAAATACTTGATCTTGCCTAATTTGGGTGTGTGGATTTCAAATCTGAAATTAGTTATGCTCTTAAAGCAGATTTATATTAAAAGGACATTCTTAGTCCATTTTTTTTTATCTAAACACACAAGTTAAAAAATGTCATATATAACAGGGGTCGCGTACATGTTTCAACAAACTTCCGAAGGGAATTAGGACACATCATCAGGATTGAAAATGCGCAGGATTCCATGCCCGGAAAAGTCGTACATTGGCTGTTGCGCTTCCCTGTGATGACCTGTTCATTATAGGGAAGTTCATTATAAGGAAGTTCATTATAGGGAAGTATGCTTAGAGACGTACGAGGAAGATTCCGGGCATGGGATCCTACGCAAACTGAGCCCATATCCAAGAGGTCGTTTTATCGAACCTCGCCAGTATGGGCAGTTGTAAGATTAGATGTAAATATGAAAATACTTCTTTTGGCGGCGTCCATCACATGTTTGACTGATTTGCATGGTGATAAACATACGACAAATATTTGTTACCTTTTTTTGTGATTTGTTTATGAATGTAGATTTTTGTAGATTTGTAAATTTCAATCAGTGATTAAAGGATAGCCTGATTGATAGGGCACTGAGCCGTGGGTTTAATACTTGCTGGCCGAGGACTCCCCGTATAGTAAATAGTGACTGATGCACGTTAAATCTGTCGAGTCTCAAAGTCCACCATGTTCCCAAAACAAATCATACTTCTGGTGGTACTGATCCCGGAGTTTCCTTGTCTTCTAGATTAGTTCAAAATTACAAGGTTACGGAGTTGAAGATTAGTATTGGTCGGCTGTTCAACGACGTATCGGCCAAAATTGGGTCAGCTGTTCAACGACAGTTATATGAAAATAACTAACTCCCAAAGAAGTTTGTCACAACATTTACGCCACCCCCTCTTATATATAACGGTTTTAAACTTGAGTATTTTAACAGAAAATGGACTAAAAATGTTATTTTGAGAAAATTTGTAGTTGTATTAGCAAAACTAATTTCAACTTGCACATTGTAAATTAAACTTGCACATTTCGATCTAAAAATGCCATTTAAAAAATAACTGTAGCTTGAAGAGAGGAAGCGATTGCAGATTTGAAGTCACCGATATGAAAGTATCTAAGATCTGTTAAAATATCTTATGCAACAGAAGAAAAAAAATGTTCCCTAGAAGTACCCTTCCCTTCTGAAGCTTTAAAAATGATTCATATTCTAGAAGAATTATTGAATCTCAAACACATCTTGAAAGCTAACAAACTAACGTCATGATGTTATTGATGATATTGAAGATTTTGATAATTCAGCAAACTTGTCATGAAATATTTTTAGGTAAATGTAAAAATAAACACGTGAATGTGTGCTAATTATGTAATTAAGAATTTACAATTAAATTTATTACAAATTTATAAGCTGTAGGTCAAGATTAAAATTTAAGATGATTTTAAGATAAGTTTATTTTTTGTAAAATATTGTATTTAATTTGATCTTACGTCACAATAATGCTTTAATCAATGCTTTTTTTTTTGAATTTTGAATAATTCAAATTTTGGTTCATTTTGCCATCCTCTTTGAATTCGAAAAGTCTACGATAACATATAGTTAAAAAAAATTCTACTTTATTTGAGAATTGAGGGATAATTTTTGTATTTTTCTCATTGTCATAGAGTTTTTTATTTTATTTTTTTATTTATTAATTAATTTTTTTTACAATTCATGGAATTTATTGATAAAAATTCTTTAAATTGTAATATGCTCTAAAATAAAGCTAAACCATTGGTAAACATTAAGATCGTTAACTTTTACGAATAAATGGTCATTATACTGCAGGAGAAATAAAATAAAAATTTTAACTTCAAATTCCCATGTCCTTTTAATAGGACGCTGCATAGTGTGGGTGAAATAAACTAAAAATTTCACGAAATCCCGTGTACTGCAGTGAGGTGATAAACCTACAATAAATTGTCTGCATTTTGATATTTTGCATTTGACACATTTATATTTTTTTACCATTTGAAACTAATGTTTTTTATTGCAAAATTTGAACAACCAATGGAGGTGATACAGAATTTATGATGAAAAGTTTCTCCAGTGGTATAGTGTCCACTTTAGTGGGGCCAGGTTGCAAATATCTTAAAAATAATAAATTTTATTTTCATCAATAACAATGATAAATAATAGTATTTAAAACGATGAGAAAAAGTATATTTTTATGTCAATTAGAAACACTGATCTTTGAGATCGGTGATTAGAAAGCGATGTACAGTGCACACACACACACACACAAAAAAAGGAAAAAAAAAAAAAAAAAAAAAAAAAAAAAAAAAAAAANAAAAAAAAAAAAAAAAAAAAAAAAAAAAAAAAAAAAAAAAAACGTCCTTGAATAACTTTGGATCTAATAACCAGATCTTCATTTTCTGAGACTCAGTCTTAATGATTCGAGCGGGTGACCTCAAATATGTCAATTAATTAGTGTAGACGTAGACGATATTTCAAGTTACGAAATCAAGCACACTCAAACGCACTTTCTCTGAATAAACAGTTTTAAATTTGTGACCCCTAAGGTAGCCTCAAACTGGGAAATACGGTCCCCATAGTTAGATCAAACTAGCAATTCAAAAGTTAATGTTATTTTATACCCCTTAATGTTAATTTGAGTTTCTGCGTATTTCGCTATATCTCGAGATTTGTAAGCGAATTGAACATTTTTTGCACACAATTACAAAATTCGTTTATCCAAGGAAAATTCCATACAAATAATACATTTTAGTAAATGTTTATTATTTTTTACAACTTCATAGAATAATTGTAGAAAAATTTTGAATTGTTAAGTATAAAAAAAAAAATTTTTTTTTTGCATCATTTTAAAGAATGTAATTTTGCATGGCGAAATACAAAATTTGAGAGAAATCGGTTGAATTGTTCCTGAGAAATCAAATTTTGAAAAAAATTACATATTTAAAATTTGATTTCTAACGAACTATTCTATTGATTTCACTCAAATTTTGTGTTTTGCCATGTAACGTTACATACTTTAAAATGACGCGAAAAATTTTATACCTTACAATTCAAAAAATTTTTCAACTATTACTTAATAAAATTGTTAAAAATAATGAATATTAACTAAAATGTATTTTTTTTTGCATGGAATTTTCTTTGGATAGGCGAATTTTAAAATTGTGTGCAAATTAATTTTTTTTATTTGCTTCAATGCATGTTCGAAAGATATGGCGAAATACGCAAAACGTAAAATTACCATTAAGGGGCCAAAACTTTGGATCGCCATCCTGAGCAATTTATGAGGAAAATATTTCCGAGATTGTGGCTACACCCTATATTTTCGGGGTCAGAAATACAAAACCGAAAAAAAAGATATGTTTATTCAGAGAAAGTAAGTTTTGTGACTGATTTCGTGGCTTAAAAATATCGTCTGCTGCACTAATTAGTAAACATATTTGAAATCACTCCCTCGAACGATTAAGTTTGAATCCTAGAATGTGAAGATCCGATCATGAGATCAAAAGTTATTGAAAATAGTCCGTTTTTTTTTTTTTTTTTCTCACTGAACGACT